CTGGTCTGAGTGAGCATACCGACCACCCCGCCCTCGTCATCCAATCAATATCAGGGTTTAACCCAGACCCACCAATATATATAAGTCCCCCTAGATGCCCCCCCCGAGGGTACCATCTCGTTTGGCTCTCACCGACGTGCAGCGGAGGGGAAAGATCATCTCGCTTGCTATCCAAGCAGCCGAAGTCAACCATCTGGTTGTCGGGGAAATCTCTGCCCATGGAAATCAGCTCGTTGAAACCCTGCTCGCGCCTCCAGCCAACAAGCCCGTCACACCTATACAGACGGTGCGATGTGGTACCTGGAGCGCCCAAGCACCACCTGCATTCACGAGCGATGCTGTACCTATCCTGGACAATCCTATCCTAAGTCCAGAGGCCCCAGCCATATGAATGGCCACCAGACCAGCCTGAGCCGAAGGTCCACGTCCCCGAAGCTGCCTGAGTTCTGCTTTCACAGGATCCAGGAACGCAAGGCCCTCCCAACCAAGGTGCTTGGCGGCCGCCTGCTCGAGCTGCCGCTTGATACCCATATAGATAACCGCTTTGAGGACGGGGGTCCCAATTTGATGGAGGGCAAATTGGAGCCCACGGGGACCAATCCATACATGATACGACCTTGCCGCCCACCCGAGACGCCTGGGGGTTTGGACGACGGCCCCTGCAGGGCCTCGCACATATCCCCAACCCTGCTGTCCCCGTGATAAGGCCATGTGGAATATTTGTCCATCATATTTGCGGGAACCCATTCCTGGTGCAGCGCCAACGACCAAGTGAGCAGCGGGAGCGTGTTCACCTGGAAGGACGGATCGGCATCTGGAGGGTCCAACAACAGAAACTGCACGGCGCGCGAGCGGCCCTTGGCCTTGCCGAAGAGCGCGAAGGCCGAGACAGTCCTCAACTTCTGCAACTCACTATCTGGCATGCCCATGACCCGCACTCCGTACGTGGCCGAGGCTCGACCACACTCGTGTTAGCCATTTTACGATGATGCTTGAGGGCCCGAAAACGATGTGCACGCTTCCTGAGTTTACTGATCCTGGACTTCTGCACTGGTTTACCTGCGCGAGCCTGCATGCCGGAGTCGTGCCCTAAGCTCTTGACGCTGGCACATACCTTGAAACAAGAAGCACGCAGATCTTTGCCAAGTTGCGCCGCTAACTCCTTGGCAGAAGCCAGCATCTGGCATTTCTTGTGCAAAACCACTTGCTCCAGATGCTGTATCTGCTTGCACAAGTCGGGGGCCGCAGCAGCTAGAGCCTGTCGAACGAAACGTGCCGAACCGATTGCTTCTAATGTTATGTCGCCTACCATGACATACAAAAGTACGCTCGGCCACCTATCACGCATGTAAACTAAAGAATCGTACAACACAGCGCGCAGCAATGTCGTCGCAAAAGAACAGCCCGCGATGACCGAACGATTCAACCTGATAACCGACGAGACGACCTCCCTCACTTTGGTCATCCTCCGCCCCCGTACACCTTCAACAAAAGCCGAGCCCGTCTTAAGTCGAAACTGTGCTTCTGGCAGGACTTCCAAAGAACATCGTGGGGAATCTTCTCATAGCACTTCTCTAGATCTATCAGCGCTGACCCCGAACTAGCCGCGATAGATTCTGCAGCTTCGGCACGCGCCGCCTGCTGCCACACTGCGCGCTCGCATCTCCTGCCCATGCCGCCGTGCACACAGCTCAGGGCATGATTCCGCCCCCATTGGTTGGCCTGATCTCGTCTGAGTCGGCCAAGGATGCGGATGCACGCTGCCAAAACTCCTATGGGTCGATGACCTCCGTCTGGCTTCTGAAGAAAAACCACCAAAGATAAATCGCATTGTTCAGGCATCAGTAGGTGCTCTTCTATAAAGCCGAGGGCCAGCCCGTAGGCCGTCAAAGCCTTGTCGCTCAACATCTTCAAAACACCAGGGTTCCAACCGTCAATGCCGACCGCCGTGCCCTTTTTGAACCTCTTGAGAACCTCGCGAAGCTGTTCGGCAGTTGGTGGAGGGGGAGGTTCACCCAAGGGGAGGTCCAGGTTAGAAGGCAGAAGCCGAGAGGGTTCGCCCTCATGCCAAACCTCACGCCATTCGTTAAGCAGCTGCGCGACAGTGTCCACTGGCCCCGCAGGGGCTCCAGCTGGCCCCGAGGCATCAGGGGCCCATCCTTGCGGCTCCTTGGTCCACTTGTAGAGCGCACCCCCTCCAGACTCCAAGGATTGGGATACCCAGCTCCTCCACTCCTTGGTCCTCTTGCTCCTGAACCCCGCCTCCTCCTGAGCCGCCAAGCTGCGCAGCGCCTGCAGCCCCGCGGTGATGCCGTCCAAGCCGACGTCCGCGGACAGCTGCAGAGAAGAGTGAAACTGCTTCCAGCCTGGAACATCTGCCAAACTCGGATTCGACCAGTTAAGCCTCCAGGGTAAGTCTCGAACACCCTTGGACTCCCAAGAATGCCCCTTGCTCACCAGGTAATTCAGCTCCTCCAGCCAAACCTGATATCTCCTCATACTCCTCGTCTGCTTCGAACATGTCAGAAACGGCCCCTTGCCGTATTCCAGAGTCGGCTTTTCCACCGCCCGAAAGCCCCGACTCCTCCCACAGTACCTAAGTCGATCCGAGACTGGAATGTTCAAAGTGTCGCAGAGCTCGGCCTCCATGCGATCGCATAGCTGCCCATGGAAATCCTTGAAACCATCTGCCGTCGGCGCCTCGTCGAGCGCCTCGAACGAAATGCCGATATCTGACCAGTCCTGCGGCGGTGGGACTGGTCCTATAGGCCTCTCTGTCGGAAAAGGCATGGGCACCTTGACGCGCGACTGAAACTGCAAGTGCGCATCGGTTCCCAGAGACAGTCGGACAGGGAAATGAGCCTCATTCGCCGAGTCCGAAAGACGTTCGCACGATCTGACGACCCCGACGCTCACGAGATATCACGAAGAAATCTAGTTCACGCCAAGCTTTGCCCACACGACAAGTCGGCCTATTACAACTCACCACAACACCCCTCGTCTCCTGAACGCTCCGAAGACGCTGAACCTCCGAAGGTAAACTGTTGAAATCCCCAGGTATGACGAACGGCTTCTGGGCCCCAAACAAGAATTCTCCCAACTGATTCATGATTTGCTGCCCTTTAGCTCCTGCAACTCCCTCGCCATCTGGAGTGCACACACTGACGACATAGAAGCCCCCCTTCACGCACCCGTTCACCCACACGATCGAGCAACGCGAGTGGAGGAGATGCCTGTGTACCTGCAGCGGCTCGCCAGCCCCGATGTGCTGGCGGACCGCGATGCCGACGCCCGAGGAGATGCCCCCTTGGTCAGTCGCATCCGCTGAAGATAGTCGCAATTTGAAACCCTCACTTCTCATGGACTGCTCATGCTGACTGACATTCTCGCGCAAAACTCTGCACTCTTGGAGGCAGAAAACTGAAACGTCACTCAGCCTGCTGTCCGTTAGAATAGACTAAGCTCCTTTCCAACCTGAAACATTCGCCGTGACCAAGTGCCACGGTGTACTCGAAGGGGTACTTTTGGCTGCAAGGGGCAACTGACTGGCACAGGCGAGGCGGCCTGTGATAAAGGCCCTGCTGCGGATCCGCTGCCCCTTTGCCAGAGCCAGGCCCCTTGCCGACGAGCCGCTGGGCGTGGGCGCGGACCTGAGCGGCGGTCTGGCCCTTGCCCATGCCGCCCTTGCCGAAGGCATGCGGCGGCGGCACGATGGGCTCGGCGGCGCCTGCGCCTCCGCCTGCTGGAGCCGCCGCGGCGGCCGCTGGCGCCTGAGCGCCCTGCTCCGCAGCAGCTGAACCAGCCGCTCCGGTACCATCTCCAGGCTCGGCAGCGTCTGGTGGTTCCTGGCGCCGACGCTTCCCTTCGAGCCGCTTCTTGAGCTGCTCGTGGTCCGCCTTGCATTGCTCCGCCTTCTGCTTGAGTTCCCCGAACATGGCGCGGGCCAGCTCAGTGAACTTGGTCTTGAGCTCCTGTTCGCGCCTCTTCGCCTCCTGCTTGTCGCTATCCTCCACGTCGACGTAGTCCGCCAGGCCGAAGAGGTCGTCTCCGCACGACAGCTCCCACTCGCCCTGCTTGCCCTCCAGCAGCGCTGCCAGGGACAGCTGCGGCAGGGGCGGGGGGGCTGAGACCACGGGAGCCATCGTGGCGTGCAGCTCCGTAATCGCCTCCTTGTAGATCTGCTCCTGCTCTCCCAGGCGCTGAAGGATGCCTGACACCTTCGTCTGCTGGAGGGCCACGCGCGCGTGCAGGTCGTCCAACACCGAAGTCTCCCTCTCCAGGTCGATGTCCAGTTTCTTCGTGTTCTTGTGTGCCTGGTCCGCCCGCGTCTGGGGCGGGACCTCGTGCTTGTCCTTGACGGCCAGCACCTGCTGGTAGTACTCGGACATCTGCTCGTTGCCAACCTTCCTGCCCAGCTCGATGAGCTGCTTGAGCTCCGCCACCGAAACGTTGGGAACGGGGTCCGTTCCTGCCTGCAGCAGGCCCACTGGGAGCGGAGCCATGCCTTGTCCTGCAGCAGCGTCAGCACCGCGAGCAGGCAGGCCAGGAGGATGAACCACATCATCCGCCCCCTTGCCCTTGGGCTTCGACTTGGGTTTCTTGTCCTTTCCCGTCTGCCAGTGCTTCCCGCAATGCTTGCAATATGCCACGTGCATAAGGGTCTTTCTACATCCGCAGAGCTCGCATCTCCAAGTCGCGTCACGCCAACCATTTGACATGCCGCAACCGCAGACTCAGACGAGACTGTGAAGCGAAAGGTGGCCGAAAGTGAAAGGATCCTCACCCTTGGCAGGGCTTCTGAACGAGGATCGTGCGGGTCGCTGTGACCAGCTCGAGCCCCGACCCCAGGGAAGGCGAAGGCCCCAGGCAACGGCTTGAGCCAAATGGCTACGGATCTCCTCCTCCTTCTCCTCCTCCTCCTCCTCCTCCTCCTCCTCCTCCTCCTCCTCCTCCCCCTCCCCCTCCCCCCCCCCCTTCTCCTCCTCCTCCAGCGGTACGGCCTCCGAAACCGCGAGCCTGTGCTGCAGCTCCTCCACCTGCCGCCTGCGGCAAACGCTGTGCCCGGGCGGGGCGGGGGGGGTCGCCGAGGCACGCGGCCGCGAGCCGCGGGCGGCAGGGAGAGACCTAAGACGAAACCGAACGAGGATACAGCTGGCGCGCATCACAAGGACGCTCGACAAGGACGCAAGGGGCCTTGGGACGCCCCTCTCGAAATGTTTCGGGCGGGGCGCGGCCACCGAAGTTGGCGAAGGATGGGCCGCGAAGGATGGGCCGAGGAGGCCCTGGGGAAGGTTGCCCAACTTCACTACAGTCGGGGCGTTGACCCAAGGAGCCCAAAATAATGAACGAGGCCCCTTTTCTCCGCAAGTTAACTTCGACTTCCCATCGGGGACTTAAGGAGCACCTGCGGGAAGCTATGCATTAATGAAGGAGCACGGAGCCCGTCCCCAACGCAAAGGGTTCCTTCTTCAGCGCCCCGACGGTATGTGGGTTCACTGCAACATCGGGCGAGGATGAACCGAAAACCTCTGAGACCCAGCGGTTCTGGAGAATGTCTCGGGCGCCGCGGCCTTCTCATAGCCGCCGGAACGCTCTGGGAAGGATGTATCCTCGTCCCAACCGCGCCCCGCTGACCTTCAACGTCTCGAAAAACTCGGCGTGGAGGTTTTTCACGATTTTGGTTTTTGGGAGACTTCGCGGAGCCGCAAAATCGGGCCGCCCCAGGGAGATAAGGGTCCAGTCATCTGGGGGCCCCGAATTGGTTCATGACTGGACGTCCCCCATCCCCTTCTTCCGCTTCCCCTGGTCTCCCGAAGCACCATCAATCGTCAGTCCATGTTGACAAGAGGCCATGCCTGAATGCAAACGGGCCGCACCTTCACATGCAGGGTGTCCTCGAACTTTCGCTCATTTCCCTCATTATTGTCTTTCTCTCTGTCTCTCTCTCTCTCTCTCTATCTCTCTCTCTCTCTCTCTCTCTCTCTCTCTCTTTCTCTCTCTTCATCCTCCAGTCCCCTTCCTTATGCTCGCCCCTCCGTATTACTCCTCCTCCTCTCCCCCCTTCCTGACTCTCTCATCCTTATTATCTCTCCCTTTTCTCTCTCCTCCTACCCTCCATCCCCTTCTCTCCGGTCTTGTTCTCCTTCCCTTTTCGGCGGTGGGCAGGGGGCGGACGGGGGGGAATGACGGGAGCGCGAGTGCTTGGGCGAAGTGCGCGACTGTTTTCGGCGCGCAGGAGCCCTCGGCGCAGCGTCTCGTCCTCACGCACGTAAGACCGCACTGTGTTGAAGCGCGCGCGGCCCACGATGCCATCCATCGCCCGCCCCGGGTCCATGCAGGACCGCGCCGCGTGCAGCGAGGGCGCCTCCATCTCGCCGAGCAGCCGGAGCAGGCGAGGCGTCCAGCGAACCCAATCTCGGGCCTCCAGCACGCCGCGACTCTCCTCGGCAGCGGCGTGGCACCCCCGCGCGTGGCCCCTGGCGGGGGAGTGGCCTCACGCCGTCCCTGATCACACGCGGCCGGGGGACTCGCCGAGGTGTCCTCCAACATTGCTTGCTCGGGGCGGCCGTGGAGCGCTCGCATCCGTTTCTGCAAGGGCTGCTGATCCACCGCCTGGTCGACGAACTCCTGCAGCGGGATCCGTGCCTCCTCCACACTGAGGCCCGCGGCCGCTGCCACCCGCACGAGCGTCCCATCGAACTCCTGCCCGCCCGCCTGCACCGCCAGACGTGAGCCGAGAAGTCCACATCCAGGCGGGACCTCGCTGACCCGCCGCCGCGTGGCGTCGAGGGCGCACGGCCCAAGGGCCAGCATCTGCGCCCAACCGTTGTTCAAGAACGGCCGAGCGCCGGCACCCCAATGGCCACAGACGTCGGGCACAAGGGAAGACACACCTGCGTGCCGGTGCACGGGGGGCCTCTGCGTTCCTCGTGCTGTCATAAAGGAGCAGCGCAGACGGAAGGAACGAACTTCTTGCGGCCACGCTGGGCCTCGGCCACGAACAGGTTCCCCGACCTAGGTCTACGGAGCGACCAGCAACCAGGGCCCCTCCTGAGCCCAAGTTGGATTCATTGCCGCGTGACCAATGTCGCCAAAGTGAACAGTGGCCGCCGAGGGCACAGTGAGGAGTGCAGACGCCTCCTCGCTCTGAAGGTCCCCTGCACGGCCTGACGCTGACGGGCGGTTGCGGGTGATGTGATCGGGCCTCGGGTAGAGAACACGCCTCTGCCCCAACCGGTGGATGGACCCAGGGGCAAACTGAGCAGAGAGCAAAGGCCACAACCAGAAGGTGACTGGCTGGGGAACGTGTGTCACGAGCAGCTCCTAGTGTCCCCACCCTGCTCTAGAGAGCCCCACCGCATACCCAGTGGCCTCCGTCTCCTCCTCACGCGCAAGCCGCGGGGTTCCTCGATCAACAAGCCACCCTCTGCAGGGGGCCGTCGGGCTGCACGGCACAAGCCTCATCACACTAGGCACATGCGTCCTGTTCGACGTCATCCAGCAATTCTTGGCAACAGCGCCATCAGATTAGGGACTCGGCGAATTTGGCAACTGTCATCTCCCACGAGGTCACCCGTCAGACCTCTGAATTGCCGACCTGCTCAGATTCTCCTCTAGCGGGGCCCCGACTGGCCAACCCACAACAGCGACCGAAGACGGACGAACGACTACGTACGACGACGACCAACGACAGCGACAACGACAGCGACAACGACCGACGAAGATCGACGACGGCGGTGGACGATGACGAACGCCGACGACGAACGACAACGAGCGACGGCGGCGACGACGCCGACGCCCTCCGCGCAGCTGCCCGGGCTGACGAAGGCCGCAGAAGATCCACCGAAGGCCTCCGTGGAGGGCAGAAGGACCACCCTCGCAGCGAGCGCCCCCACGAGCGAGGCAGCGCCCCTCGCAATCGCGCCCCAGGCGGGGAGCTGGAAGGGGGCAGGGCCAGGGCTGAACCTCAACGGTGGTTTTCGTGTTCGTTTCGTCTTCGTTGTCCCTCGGTTTGTCTTCCATCCGCCTTTGCCGCAGAACGAAGTCGAAACGAAAACGGCCCACGAAATCGCCAAAGCATCGTTTAGGTCCAGCCCTGGGCTGGACTGCTCGGCCAACTCCCAGGACTGCCTAGCGGGCGCCAGCCACTGGGGGGCCCAAGAGAGCCCAGAAATCGAACCGACGAGTCGGATCGGGGATCGAAAAGAAGCGGATCGGCGGAAATCGGCAGCCAAGTCGGGAGGAGTCGAATCGGCGGAAATCGGCGGGCTACGAAGCCTGCTTTGAGAAATCGGGGTTCAGATCGGAACCCGAGGTCGAATCGAATCGGAATCGGAATCCATCGGGGCCGAATCGAATCGAATCGGAGGAATCGAAGCGAGCCCGGCCGAAGGCCGCCGGGGGCCGCCGAAGGGCCGCCGTCGCAGCGGCGGCGGCGGACGGCGGCGGCGAGCTCCCACGGCGGAAGCCGGCCAGCCACGGTGACCGACTCTGCCGCGCCGCCCTCCAGGGCCGCCGCAGAGGCGGCAGGTGGCAGCGGCAAGCGGCAAGAGCGGCAAGGGCGGCGGTCGGCGGCCCGGGAGCGCAGCCTGAGGAGGGCGGCGGCGTCTGCCTCGCGTGGCGCGGGGGGGGAATCGGCCGCTCCCCGTTGTCCTCGTCGTCCTCGTCGTCGTCGTCGTCGTCGTCCTCTCATCCGACTCCTGCTCCTGCTCTTCGTGGTCGCCGCACTTGGAGATTTCAAGAACAAGTGGGGGTTGAGTCCCGAGTGTCCCGCCTCGCGCCACGGCCAACCCCACCCTGCATACCGCGGCCGCCAGACCCCAAATTGTCCCGAGAAACCCGAGTGCCCCACCTCGCGCCCCGCCAACCCCACCCTGCATACTGCGGCCGCAAGACCCCCAAGTTGTCCCGAGAAACCCGAGTGCCCCGCCTCGCGCCCGGCCAACCCCACCCTGCACACCGCGGCCGCCAGACCTTCAAGTGTCCCGAGAATCCCAAGTGTCCCGCCTCGCGCCCGGCCAACTCCACCCTGCATACGGCGGCCGCCACACCCCAAAAATGTCCCGAGAATCCCGAGTGTCCCGCCTCGCGCACGGACAACCCCACCCTGCATACCGCGGCCGCCAGACCCCAAAATGTCTCGATAAACCCGAGTGTCCCGCCTCGCGCCCAGTCAACCCCCCGCTGCATACCGCGGCCGCCAGACACCCAAATTGTCCCGAGAATCCCAAGTTTCCCGCCTCGCGCCCGGCCAACCCCACCCTGCACACCGCGGCCGCCAGACCTTCAAAAGTCCCGAGAATCCAAGGTGTCCCGCCTCGCGCCCGGACAACCCCACCCTGCATACCGCGGCCGCCACACCCCAAAAATGTCCCGAGAATCCCGAGTGTCCCGCCTCGCGCACGGCCAACCCCACCCTGCATACCGCGGCCGCCAAACCTTAAATTGTCCAGAGAATCCCCGAGAGTTCTGGGTGTCCCGCCACGCGCCCTCGACAAATCCGGCAGAACTTAACATGACACAGCAGAACATGACAGAACGGATCAGACCATGACAGAACACGACATAACATAACATAACAAGATCATCACACAGTATATCATAACAAAACATAGCATACCATACCAGAGCAGAAGATGCCATAACATAAGACGACACAACACAACACCACATACTATAACCGATCATGCCATAGCACACCTTGGTTGAACATATCATATCCTGACACAGCATCAGAGACATGCCAAAACTCGACAGCAGAGGGTAGCGACGACGAACACGACAGAACACAACATTACACACCATAACATGACTGAACATAACACAAGCATGACCGGCCATGGCTTCACATAACATAGCAATGTCATGTCAACATACAGCAAAACATACAATCATATAACATACCAGGATAGACCAGACGACGTCATAACACAATACAACAGAAGACGGCCGAGCATAACATGACAAACGTTAGCAGAACGTATCATATCATAAGACGGCATCACAGAGAGGATCATAACACGACAGCAAATCATTGCGACTACGAACACGACAGAACACAACATGGCACAAGAGAACATGCCATAACAGATCACGGGCATGAGATAACACGACGGAACAGGACATAGCAATGCCGTGACACGAAAGGGCACCACATCACACCACATAACATACCAGAGCAGACCATGACAGAACATATGAAAATGTAGCATTCCATAGCATACCAGGGAGGAGCATCACACAACACACTTTGACATAGCATTTCATAGCAAGACACATCATCACATAACATTTTAGAACACGACAGCAGGGCATAGCTACACACTCTAGCATAACATAACACCATACACTATACAGGCCTGCGCCGTCAACAGAACTAGCACCTCAGAACATGAAAGAACAGAACGTGCCATAACAGAAGATGACAGAGCACACCATAATATAACAGAGCCGCGCACACCATAATACAGCTTGGCAGAACATATGAACATAGAATACCATGACACAGCATCACAGAGAGGATCATAACACGACAGCAGATCAACGCGACGACGACGACAGAACACAACATGACGCAATCGAACATGACAGAGCAGACCACAAGCATGACAGAACATGACAGACCAGAACATAGCAGCGTCATGGCAGCATAGGACGTAGCATAACATCTCAGGACACCAGAGCCGAACGTGCAAGAAGAGAAGACGGAATAACAAAACATAACAGAACCGAACAGAGCCATACATAATACACCTTACAGAACATAGCGGATCATGACACAGTATTACAGATAGCGTACCACAACACAGCAGCAGAGCATAGCGACACATACTAGCAGAGGATCTCATCGTATACTGTACAGAGCCGATCCGTCATCAAACATAACAACATCGCATTACATACCATAGCACAACATTGCATAACATAAGACGACATAACACAATATAACAGAACATAGCCGAGCTTGACATATCAATGACATAGCATATGAGGAGCACAGCATGGCAGCATCACATAACATACCATACTACGACAGCACAGCATAGCGAAGCATACTAGCAAAGCAGGTACTACTATACCATACGAAGCCGAGTTGTCAACAGCATCGCGGATCAGAACATACCAGAACATCACCTGCTGACATGAACATCAAATCGTATCAGAGTGCCACATCGTAAGTTGATCATACCATGACATATCGTACCATATGGTGACAGTGCTGAACATACCATAACATACTCAGAAGATAAACACGTACGTGAAGAGGACACGCATAAGAGACGACGCATCCAACGTCACAAGCTTCACGACGTCATGCGGCCCGTCGAGAACATAACATAACATGATAGAGCAGAAAATAAAAACACGTGACTACATGGAACCCGGTTTAATCGTTTTTGAAACCAGAAACGGCAGTTGTCGACCAATTAGGCGAGCGCCCGCCGTCGGGAACCAACGCTCAAGGTTTCGGTGGGGATCGTTCGAAGCAAAATAACCTAAGATTCCTCCTGTCGAGGGACATGCCCGACTTAAGCTAGCTCACGGTTGGGAGCTTTGGCTTAGCGTGTCGCGGGCACCCACCTTCACGGTCTGACCGGGCCCCTCTCTTCCACCTCCTCGCTCTCTTCTCTCTCTCTCTCTCGACTTTCATGCCCCAATTCGCCTCTGGTCCCTTCCACTGCTACCTTTGACCAACGCCTGGCGTCTTGCGCCACCTGGCTCCCGCGGACTTACACATGTTCGCGCGCCGCCGGCTCTGGCCCCCCACGCTCCGGAGCAACACCCGGGCCTTTTCTAGTCTCCCGCCCCGCGAAAGGAAGCGACACCGCATCCACTTGCAAAGCATGCCGCCATCCTGGATCATAAGGATGCGCCGTAAGGATGCAATGGCTTTCGAGGGCCATGCTAACGCTTTGTCGAACGAGCTTGGCCAGCGAAAGCCGCTAAGGATGGGCCGAAGGGGGGCAAGGATGCAAAGGGGTACATTTGAGAAGGTTGCCCGTCCTTGCTGTGCGGGTTGACCGTAGTGCGTGTCGCCAGGGCCGCCGCCACGACGCGCTGAGCAGAAGTTCCCGAGCGTGCCGCTTGCGACCCCTCCCCGAAGACAGGTCCACTGCTCCCGGCCGCTCTCGACCGTTCGAACGGCAACATTTTTGTTGCGCCCAGGTCGTCTGCGGAGGGCTCGCGTGGGAGGAGGCCGAAGCGGGCCCCCCGAGCAGCAGCCTGGCCGCCACGATCTTCCCTGCGCTTCGTGGCTGCAGAGGTCTGGGAGGGAGAAGGTGAGCGTTTTCTTATTCGGCGTTTCGACACTGGGCGGAAAGGGGGGGGGGGGGAGGGAGGAGTCCGGCTCTGGACCTCTGCTCAGCGCGACTGTTTGCAACAGTGCGTCCTGTGGGTGAGACCCCACCTGCTCGAAACAGGCACCCAAAACAGCCAAGATCACGCCATGGAAGGGGGCGGGGGGACTGCGGGCCCGCGCCACGTAGACTGTGGCGATCATGACACTCCCGACACTCCTCCTCCTCCTCCTCCTCCTCCTCCTCCTCCTCCTCCTCCTCCTCCTCCTCCCTCTGCCCCCTCCTCCTCCTCCTCCTCCTCCTCCTCCTCCTCCTCCTCCTCCTCCTCCTCCTCCTCCTCCTCCTCCTCCTCCCCGCGCCGATCGGCCGAAGAATTCCTAAAAAAAAACCGATCCCCCGAGCAGCGGCCGAAGCACTTGTGTTTGAGCGGCGGGGCGCCGCGCTCGGGCCGGGCGACCGGGGGGGGATAGCCAAAGGGGGAAGGGGAACACACCAATAAACACACACAGATAAAGCAATCCCCCCTATTTTCTCATATTTTCTGGGTTTCTGTCTTCCCCCCCCACTCCCCATATCTTCCCATATTTTTTCGGGGGATGGAGGATGAATTGTGTCTGTGTGTTTTTTCCCCTCCCGGGCGACAGGGGGGGATAGCAAAGGGGGGGTTTGAGAATCAGCTCACGTTGGGCGCCCGAGTTATCCGGGGTAACTCCGGGTAACTCGGGTTTGGATTCCCGAAAAAGGAACCCGAGTTATCCCTGACCCGAGTTACCCCTGATGATTCGGGGCTCTTGGACGCCCGATTCATCCGGGGTAACTCGGGTCCGGGGTAACTCGGGTTTGGATTCCCGAAAAGCGAACCCGAGTTATCCCTGACCCGAGTTACCCCTGATGATTCGGGGCTCTGATCACGTAGCTGTTTTTCCCAGCGCCTCCCGGCGCCGGAGGCCCGGCGGCGGGGCCGGGCGGCGGGGCCCGGCGGCGGGGCCGAAACCCGCTCCATGCAGCCGATTTCGTACCCCCCCCCCCTTCCCCCCTTCGTTCGGCCGAAGCACTTGTTTGAGCGGCGGCGCCTCAGGTCCAAGTTGCGGCCGTGGCTGCGGCAGGCTTGCTGCGGAGCGAGTGGGGCACGAAGGCGGCAGGGCGGCCAGAGGCGGAATGGAGTGAAGGGGCCCTGGGACACGCAAACACATAGACATAATATATAACCGGATCCCCCATGGTTTCCCGTATTTCCGGGGCTTTCTGTCTTCCCCTCCCACTTCCCATATTTTTCCAGCTTTCCGGGGGAGTCGACGATGAATTGTGGCTGTGTGTCTTTTTCTGTCCCTCCTGGTTGAAGGAGGGGGATCGCCGACGGCCGGAGAGCGCCCTCCGAGCGCGCACCACCTCGGGGCAACTAGAGGCAAAGACATGCCGTAGGAGCCCAGGGACACGCAACACACACACACTCTCTCACACACACACACATTTTCACACACACAAACACACACACACAAACACACACACACACGCAACACACACACACACACGCAACACACGCACACACACACACACCACAAACACACACACACACACACCACACACACACACAAACCACGCACGCACGCACACGCACACGCACACGCACCCGCACCCGCACCCGCACCCGCACACGCACACGCACACGCACACGCACACACACATTCACACACATTCACACACAAACACTCGCTCGCTCGCTCGCACGCACGCACGCACACACACATGCACACGCACACGCACACGCACACGCACACGCACACGCACACACTCACACTCACATAAGCAGGTACACACACATCCCATAATCATGCGTAATTATCATATTTTCTTGATGTTCGTCCTCCCCCTCACCTCCCATGCTTTCCCATATTTCCCTGGGAGTCGACGATGAATTGTGTCTCTGTGTATCTGCCCCTCCTGACATACGTTCAGAGCTCCTCGCGGACATTGCTGCATCGGCGCCAGAATCGCCGCCAGGGTGCTCCAGCGTCGAACCTGTGAACCCGCGCGGGCCTCCAAATGTGTGTGCATTTGCCGATGCTCCTTCTTCTGATGAAGTCCCCCTCCTCCTTCTATTCCTCCTCCTCCTCCTCCTCCTCCTCCGCCTGTTCCTCGTCATCTTGGTGGCGTGCCCTGATGGGGGAGTGCAGAGGAAGCAGGCGTCCCCAGGAGACTCCGACGGCCTCGGGCCCTCCGGAAGGGCGTCAAACATCTTCTTCGAAACCCCGGCGCTATCTGAGGAGGCCCGCCCCTCTCACTCCCCCCCCTGGCGCGCCGCCGACCGCCCTCTTTTCCTCCCGCTACAAGCATCGGCCTGACCAAAGGAACGGTCAACAAGGAACGAAAGCCCCCTTCTTTTCTCCAGGGAATATAGCGCACACGGAACGACGAGTGACGAACGCAGGCCGAAGGAACGGCCGAGCCCCTCTTGAACAGCAGAGGTTCCTTATGCAAGCCGCTCGCTGTAACTTTGGACACACACGTTGTCTCAGACCAACAGCGGCCCGTGCTGGGGAGGCGGCCTTCTGTCTCAAATGGACACAGGGCGTGGCGGCGCGGACAGCGAGTCCTGTTCAAAATGAGCAGGAACTGCTGTTGGGCATTGTGTTCATTCTTTTCGTATCCATTTCGTTCGTGCCGAGTAATGCTGCCTCGCCTGCTCCTCCTCCGGAAGCTTGGGATCTCGCTGCGCTGCTGCCGCTCCTGCCCCATCGAGAGAGAAGGGCCTCCTCGGCCGCTCTGGTGATGCATACCTGGCGGCGCGCGCGGGCGGGCGCGAGCCGTCCCCTAGGGGAAGGCCGTGGCGGGCGAGCGGGCGGGGCGGGCGCGACAGGTGGGGGCCGCGGTGCTTCGAGGAGGAGGAGGAGGAGGAGGAGGAGGAGGAGGAGGAGGAGGAGGAAGAAAAGGAGGACGAGGAGGAGGAGGAGGAGGAGGAAGAGGAGGAGGAGGAGGACGAAGAGAACGGAGAGGCGGAGAGGAGGAGGAGAAGGAGGATGAGAAGAGAGAGGAGGATGACCGGCGAGCGCTGAAGAGGAGCCGCGCCGCAACCTCCGATGCGCGCGCGGCCGCGGCTGAGCGCCCGCGCCCGCGAGCGAACACGCCCGCGGCGTTGGCCGCTGCCTCCGATCACCTCGATGCGGATGGCGATCTTGGCGGGTGCGGCGGGGACGATCAGCTTGGCAAGCCTGGAGACCGCGGCGTTGCCCTTGGGGCGGACGGCGCGCACGACGGCCTCGCGAAACTGCAGCTCTTCGCCGACCCCGTCGCCCCTCGCGTCGATCAGTCGAACGCGGGCATCTCGTGGCTGGGGTCCGCATCCTTCTGCGGCGTGATCTTCGCCGTGTAGTGCGTCCGCGGGCCCGCCGCCCTCTGCATGTCGTTGGCCTCGACCGTCGCGGCAGCGATCGACCCTGGGCACTCGCTGCTTCGCAGTGCCCATCTGTAGCGCGAGCGCCATCGCAAGCCGCTTGCCCGCGTGCCCTCGCAGCTCGTGATCCATCTTGGCCGCCACCTGCGCAGGGCGTGGCGACGTGGATCTCGGCGGTGGGCGGCGAGCTGGGCGGGGGCGACACCCGCGCAGAGCCGGAAAGCTCAGCGAGCCTCGCAGAAGGCTGCAGACGACCGGGGCAGCGGCCCTCCGCAGCCTTGTCGGCCAGCTGGTTGCCGTAGCAGCCCTTGTAGGCGATGCGGCCGCCGTCGATCACAGACCGCCAAGACGGGTGAGCAGGCGCCTTCCACGCCGTGAGGCCAGCGTCTCACAGGCCGCGGGACTCGTCCAGGAGCCTCCGCACTTCGCGCAGGCTATAGGGCCGTCTCGGGAGCCTCCAGCTTTGGGAGCTTAGGCTGCCTTCGGGCCCTCTCGGGTCCTTCTTTGGCCCTGGTGGCGGCATCCCATGGCCCTCTAGGCGCTCTCTTGGGGCCGTCTTGGGGCCCTCCAGGAGCCCTCCTGGGGAGTCGTGGGGCCCTTTTGGTTTGGTGCCTCTGGGGCCATCTTGGGGCGATCTTTCGGACCTCTTGGGCAGTCCTGGGCCGTCGGAAGCGAAAAATGGCGAGAACTCGACAGAAACCTTGAAAACCCTCGGACAGTCAATGCTTGTGGCCTCCTCGGGTCATCGCGGGTGTCCTCTTAAGGGCCTCTGGAGCCATCTTGGGACCCTCATGGATCGTCTTGAGGCCATCGCAGGCAACCTTGGAATGCTCTTGGGCGGTCTTGGGCTCTCTTGGAACGCTCTTGGGCAGTCTCGCTCGGAGCAGTCTGACCCCTCGTTTGGACCTTCTTGGGGATATCTTTGTTTCTCTCGTCGCGATGGGCGTCGCCAGCCGTACCATCTCAGTGTCAGTCGCTAGACGTCACTCAGAAGGCCGATGCGATTCGGAAGATCTGCACATAAGCGTGCAACGTCTGGGGTGACCCCTGGCGCACAAACGGCGTACTGACACACTAAAAGTCTAGGAATGGGACGCTCGCAGATCAAAAAGGGGCGAGGGTCGGAACAAAATGAGGACAGAGAAGCGGATGGTGCTGGGGGAGGGGGGGGTAGTTGTGCAGTGGTGGAGGGGCGCAATACCCTCAATTAGACAAAATGAGGAAGTGACAAAAATGTAAATCGGAGGCGCCCAAGAAGGGGGCGTCCACCAGGGGGGGGGGTCGAGCATGGCCAGCAGCATGTGCGCGGCCTAGGGCGGGGCCAGGGACACGTGGAAATGAGAAGAGGCGCCATGAAATCAGGGGCGAGATCATGGCCCCCGCCATGATCCCCCCCCCCCCTGGTCCCCCTGGTCAGCATCCCCCTCTTGGCCGCCCCCGAGTAAAGCAACGCGCGGCACAGACAGTGCTAGGTCGGGCCTGCCCCCCCTACAGGCGGACTTTGGACGAAAAGCGAAACACATGTTACACAAATGCGCTGGAAGTGTCCACAACTCGTCCAGACATGGTCACCCGACTATGCTTTGACTCTTTCTGAATACTCCTCCTGTAGAGGGACACGCCCGACTCAAAGGACACTGCCCCCGATCCCACCCGTGAGGAGGCCGAGCTCTACTCGGCCAGCACGGCCTCCGCACCAGCGCGGAGGGCGCGCTGCGCCGACTCGGGGCCACCGCCCGAGCTCGCGCGTCGCGGCCCGCGGAGGGGCGGTGCCCCTCCTGGGGCAGCTCCAAGCACTGGTGCCTACATCCGAGCCGGGCGACAGGGGGGGATGGCAAAGGGGGGGGGTGAGAATCAGCTCACGTAGCTGATTTTCCCGGCGCCGGGGGCGGCCATGTATCGAGGAATGGGCCCCTCCGTGGGGCCGAAACCAGCTGCACGCAGCAGACGTTGCAAACCCCCTTTCCCAATCCCCCCCTTTCGTCCGGCCCGATGTATGCACGTATTCTGCTTCGAGATCGCCTGAGTGGTACACGCCGGTCGTAAGGAGTAGGCAGACACAGAAAGCACACCGGGTCCAGGCCCCCCCCCAGAGAGTAACAACACGCAGCAAAGGCATATCGATTATTTAGATAGGAAGGCGCGCTGGACGTAGGTTGGGAGCTGGGAATCCATCAATACCTACTTTCAACGACCAGCGTGTACAGGCGTATCGAATACCTTTCACAGCCTCACGTCCACGCGTCCAGATCCTGCTCCACGGCGCCTGGTGGCCGGGGCCGAGGAAAAAGGCTACCCCGGCAGCGACGGGGGCGCCCTGCGCGCTGCCCGCGGCGGTGGCCGCGGCGAAGAAGACATGCGAGATGTGGACCGCATCAAGTGCGATTCGATCCTCCTAAACTCATCGCGGGCCTTCGTCATGGCCTGGTCGGCCCACTCCTCTGTCCATTCGCTTCCCCAATAGTCGCTCACGATGTTAAGGTAGGTGTCCTGTGTGCTTCTCATTACGTCATCCGCGAGACTGCTTGCAAAGGTGCACGCGTAGCAGCGGAAGGCCTGGAGCATCGGCATGTCGTGGGCTGTCGCGTCGTAGAGAGACTTGGGCGTCAACGCGAGCACCGTGCAATTATCCATGCCGGTCAGCGTTCCGTGGTGAGTCCAAACACACCACAAAGCGGCCTCGCTGATCCACGGGTACGACACGTCCTGTTCCAGGCTGGCCCTGATCAATATGGTGCCGAGATCATGTTCCCCGTTGGGCAGGTCTCTCGTCGCGAGCTTCCCCGTCAGGTGCCGCCGAAACATCCCCCCACCACCCTCAGTCCTCGCACCGAAACGGTGTGAGTTCACGTCATGGGCATTCTTCGTAGAATAAGCTAAGCACCCGCGCTTCACCAGGAGCATCTGCTCCGCACGGCTGCCGGTGTGGAAGAGCTCGTCGCCCCATTTGCAGGCGATCTCCTTGACAGCGTTGGTGCAGATCTTGTAAACCACACTTGTGCTCACAAGAATGGCGCCTTCGAAAAGGGGGTGGGATCGGACACAAGTGCTGTACACGGACCACTTGATCTCCGCAAGCAGACTGCGCGGCAGGGCCTGAAAACCATTTATGTCAGAGAATGTCAGCATGTTCTTGCCACTGACGTAGCGGTACCGCTTGACCATATCTATCTTCTTCAAGATCGCCACCCCGACTCGATTGCGCTGCAAGTAATCGCGGACCTGCCACTCGTTGCTGTAACGCCGCATGGTCTCGCTGCGCATGTGAGTGAGCGAGCTGGTGATTCCCCCCAGGAAGGAGGAGTAGATCACGAGGCCGAAGAACAAGACGACGCTCGTGTAACACCACTCGGCGAGATTCTGGGCACCGTACGGGTTGGTCCCCGGGGTGAACTGGGATAAGGACCACTGGAAGCTGACGACGTAAAGGTAGAATGTCCCCTTGCCCTCGATGTCGCTGTGGTCCAACCAGGATTTGTTGTGGGCCTGCTGCCAGCTCCCCACGAGGTGGTACCCGCAGGCGATGAAGTGACTGAACCCGACGATGATCAGGAAAAACCAGAAGTTGTTGGCGAGAGTGCCGGCGGCATTCGACACGAGCATGGTCTCCGCCTGGTTGAAAACCTTGACGATCTTCAGGGCCCTGGCAACCCGTGGGATCTTGGCAAGTCGGACCAGAACAGCCCCACGACCTTCGGATGCCAGATAAGTACATGCCCAATCGGTGCTGACCACCAGCGCATCCAGAACGAACCAAGTACGAAGATATTGGTAGGCTATCTTTCGCAATCGGCGCTCGACGGTGTCCCTGTTGTAAAAGCCAGTCACAAAATTGATGCCGATGTCGATGGTCCAGAACACGCTCCCAACAAGGTTTAGCTGGGAAAACACGACACCGTCCAGATCGAACGATAACGCCAGTGGCAACGTGACAACGTCGTACGCGATAAGGACTAAACTGCAGATTGTCCAGATCGTGTGAAAGAGTGAATGCGGTGGGATGGACATGGCTGAACAGTCGCTAAGGGTGTTATCATTGGTGGCTTTCTTGCGGAAGTAGCACGTGGATTTTCTGTGGTACATTGAATATTCGCTGACCCTGGCCTTGGCCCTCTTGAAGTCGAGCTGGGAGGGCAACGACTCGTCGCCCTCCGCTCCTGACCCGCACTGCCAGAAATCGTGGAGCTTGACGCCGATCGGCATCGTCTCGCTGTCATCGTCAATGGAAAGAGCGTCTCCTTCGCCCTCGGGCTCGTCGGCACGCTCGCCGACGCGGTCGGGCCCCGAGGATGCACACATCGACCACACGCTGCCCCGGTCGCTCTT